CAGCTCCACCCCAGCACCACTCCTGGGAGCTGGATAAGGGCAGAGGTGAGACAAGGAGAGCTCGGGCTTCACACAGACACCCCTCTGAGCATCTCTGTCTGCCTGGCTCCACCGAGCTCCAGAGACTCACCTCCGCACAGCACAAACCCACAGTGCTGACTTCATCTCTGGGCTGCAAGCCAAAGCTGCAGTCCTCACCACCAGGGAAGGTTGGATTCGATGATCTCAGAGGTCTTTTCCAACCAAAATGATTTTATGAAGGAGTGGAGGGGCCGAGAGGGCTGTGACAACCCCAGCCCTCACCCCAGCCCTTTGGATGGGAAGAGGGGGCTGCAGCTCTGGTCCCACCCCACTCACTGCCAGCTGGGAAACAGGCAGCAGCCACCCTGTGCAACTGAAGGGTATCAAACTTTATTATAGATCTCTTTAAAACAGGCTGGAAGGAACAAACGAAAGATGTCTTTGAGACCAAGTCATCATTCCAAATGCAGACACTGATGGAGCCCAAACTCTCCTGAATCATTTATACTACACCCCACCCGCCACCCGAATTGTGCCCATTAAATGGTCACACTCCAGACCACCCCAAGCCTCTCAACACTGCTGCTTCTACACGCCCAGACACACGTTTTCTGCCCCATGGGATGCACTATTGGTTTGGGTTTAGTTCCTCAATCTCTGGAAAGGAGGAAGGACAAACAAAAATCAGGAAAATCGCTTCTTTAAGGTTGCCTTTTTACAGCAGGTACAGATTCAGCAGATTTCCCCCCCAAAGCAAGTCTGAAACCCTCTTGTTCAGCTTGGCAATACAAAGAGAGATTCTGGTGGTTGAGAACCAGCCAGAGGAGATCAGTCTGAACAAACTGATTTCGAGGCTTTGTTGTCATTTCCCTTTGGGGCCGGTTTCCAGGGGTTTGCCAATATCCTTCCCACGCAGCTTAAGGCCTGGAATGAGAGAAAGGAGCTGGTCACCATCACCTGCCATCAGCACTCCACCACTCCCCCAGGAGCTTTACTGTCTCCAGTGTTTGCTGGAAGGAAGAGAACATCCAAAGGAGCAGGCCAGGGGAACCAGAGTTTGGGAGAGCCCTCCTTTGGTTTCTAGGAGCATCAGACTAGTCTCAAAGCTCCAGCTCTTGCTTGTGCAGCACTGTCTTCCTAGAAACTGAGTCTCTGAACCAGCCCAGGTGAGTAACATTGACACTAGTGGCTGCAAGGTACTCTCAAAAGTATCATCAGGCCTCCACAGGACTCAGGTTCTCATCGATTTTGGAGGACAGTGCACAGGGCTGGCCCCAGGCATGGAAAAGGAGAACAAGGAAGAACAGGAGCTCTGGTTTCAGGCAGCAGATCCAAGTCTTATCAGCACAGGGCTGAACGACACCACACCCACATTAGCTTACTACCAGCAACTGCTCCCCAGGTGGAAAATGTCAGTAACTTAACCCACAACACCCCTCCCAGGCACCGAGGAGCTTCTGCTGGTTTTGAAGCCTCCTTCACTCACCAATGGCTCTCTCGATCTTGCCCATCACCTGGTTATTGGGGATTGCTCTGCCCGACTCGTAGTCAGCAATAACTTGTGGCTTTTCATTGATTTTCTGAAAAGAGAGAACGTGCCTCAAACACCATCTGCACACGCAGCGAATGCTCAGCACCAACCCCCAGCGCTCGCACAGGTAATTAACAGCCTCTAATTATGCCAGGATTGGAAAACTGTGTCCAGTGCAGGCTGCCTCCACTGCTGCGGCCTCACTTCACCCCACGAGTGTCACAGCAGTGGTGTCCCCATCCCAGGCAGGCCTCAGCCTCCCAGCAGCAGCAGGAACACGACAGGCTGGCCCTGGGGCCAGCTGTGAGCTTCCCAACACTGTGTCAGACCCGGCACCCTCATGGTGGTGCTGAGGAGAGGAGACAAAGCCCCCAAGCCTCCCAGCAGCTCTGCAGTCCCAGCAAGGCTCCATCTCCAGGCAGGTGTTCAAGGGCTGCCCAGATAAACCCCTCAAACACGTCCCAGGCAACCAGCACTGCCTGGAGATCAGACATCACCCATGCTGCATTCACCCAGCTTCCTCCTCGTGATGCCTCCCCACCAGAGCTGCTCAGGAGGGGCTGGGGAAGGTGCCCACACCTGCCTGGGAAGAGCAGGGGCAGAGGCCAGTGGGGCCATACTCACGGTGGCCAAGTCTTTCTGTGTCATGCCCTTGCTCTGTCGGCCTTGCTGGATCACTTTGCCCACTTCCAGGGGAACTCTGTCATGGTGCAGCTCCTCTGTTTCCCGGTCCAGCTTGGCCGTGTTCTTTGTAATGAAGTGTTGTTTGTTTTGGCCTGCTGCCCCTGTCAGTCCAAGCAAGAACAAAAAAAAGAAAACCAAGGCCAAAAAAAAAAGATTCAGAGCTGTGCCAAAAAAATACCCAAGTGCTTTTTCTACGTGTTCAGCTGCAAGGGCTCCCAGGGAGCTTCCAGCATTTCAACACGTCAGCATCAGCACTGGTCCCCACCAGCTCCTGCCCCTCACAGAATGTCCTCACCTGCCCCTCAAGGCCAGTGTCCAAAGGCAGCCGTGTGTGGGGGGCCCTCCCCTCCACATCCCAGCTCCACCCCAGACAGGCCAGATCTCGCCCCTGCTGGGGATTTACCAGCCACGCTCCACTCCAGATGTGCACATCTGCACTACAGCCCTGGAGGGGGAGGTCTGAACAGCTGGACTTGAACTGCGTTTGCTCAGGTGAATTACAAAACACACTGGCTTTTAATCTATTGTCTCATGCCTTTTATAAGTAAAGTCTAACTGGCCTGAGCTCTGCTGAGAGCCCGAGGCTCCAAACCGTGCTACTTGTTTTGACTTACTTTAGTAACAGTATTTAGGTCACAGTTCAAGTCCTTTCTCTCACATCAGTCTCTGACCTTCAGTCTCTTGATAAAGTTGACTAAACCTCATTCAAGAATCATTTATTTATTCATTTCCCAGCCTCACAATCTCCTCCCTACAGCGAGGGAACCCAAGAATTTACATGGGAGAGGAAACTAGTAATTTTTAAAGAGCAACGTCACAGGATGACAAGCAGCCATTAAAATCCATAGGAATGTTATCAACAAGAGAAATAAACCCCAAAAATCGAGGGTTTACGCTTAGTGACCACAAAAGCTCTGCCGAGAGCTCTGCAGACGCTCAGCTCTGGGCAGCCAGAGCCTCGGAGCTGGCTACAGGGCTGCTGCCCGCCCTGACGCGGCACCGGAGGCTCTCGGGCCTCCGCGGCCCAGCCCGGCC